AGCCCAGGAGTTGGAGGTTGCTGTGAGCTGTGATGCCACGGCACTCTGCCCAGGGGGACAGCTTGAGACTCTGTCTCAAAAAAAAAAAAAAGAAAGTTCACTGTTAAACATTTTTCTAAGTTTTATATTCAGGGTAAGGAGTGCTTATGCCTGTAATCTCCACACTTTGGGAGGCCCGGTTTGGAGGACAGCTTGAGGTCAGGAGTTCAAAGTGAGCCCAGGCAACAAAGTGAAACCACCTGTACAAAAAACAAAAATTAGTTAGGTGTGGTGGCAGAAGCCTGTAGCTCCAAAACTTCAGAGGCTGAGCTAGGAGGATCCCTTGAGCCCAGGAGTTCGAGGCTGCAGTGAGCTATGATTATACTACTGCACTCCAGCCTGATCAACAGAGCAAAATACTGTCTCTAAAACAAAAACAAAACTTTGTATTCATACAGTGTTATTTTTTAATCATGTATTGTTTTTGTGATATATAAACAAAATTAACACCTTTCAAACTAATGCTGAAAACAATTTCCTTACAAAGTCACTTGAGGTTAACATATTTCAACAAAATGTTTAATGAAAAATTGTAGTATAGGGCAGTGCCTATGGCTCAAGGAGTAAGGCGCCGGCCACATACACTGGAGGTGGCAGGTTCAAAACTGGCCTCAGCCAAAAACTGCAAAAAAAAAGAAAAATTACAGTCTTATAACTTGTTTTTAGAAAAATGTTTTATTCACGAGTGAAGAACAAAGGTTTTTTTAAAATTAATTTTTATTTCAATAGCTTTAGGAGATACAGTGTTTTTTGTTACAAAGGTATTTGTTTTAATTATATGTAGGTTTTTAAAAAAACATTCATTATGCAGTACTATCACAATACAAATGAACTTAAGAACAGCTTAAGTATTCAGTGAAATATTGAGAGGTGAACTGAAATTTTTTTAATCATATTCAGAAAATCTTATGTGTTTACTTGCTTGTTGAGTCTTTGCCAGTCGAATCTTTTCTGCTTTGGTGATTAACTTCAGAGAAAGAGAAAGAAATAAGAAATCAGAATGTACTGGATACTAAAAAACAAAAAAAATTATGACCAGAAAAATTTCACAACAATCAGCTTGAATTAAATTTTTTAAAAAGGGGGAAGAGAAATGAGATAATTATGCTTAGGTCTAATCAATTACAGAGAGAACAGTTAAGAGTAAGGCTTATTAAGTATAATATAATAGATATTAAAGCTTAAGGCTTTAAACTATCAAAATGTAGATATCCCCCAAGTTTATTTGCTTTTATTTTCCAGCCATCCAATCTGGTGTTTTTTTTTTTTTTTGAGACAGTCTTATTATGTCACCCTCAGTAGAGTAAGTACTGTAGCATCACAGCTCACAGCAACCTCAAACTCTTGGGCTTAAGTTATTCTCTTGCCTCAGCCTCCCAAGTAGCTGGGACTAAGGCACCCGCCTATTTTTTGTTGTTGTTATTGCAGTTGTCATTTTTTTGTTTAGCTGGCCTGGGCCAGGTTCAAACCTGCCAACCTTGGTGTATGTGGCCAGCACCCTACTCATTGAACTATGGGCGCCGCCCATCCAATCTGGTTTTCATATTATTATGTTTCATTGAGCAAACACTAGCCAAATGGATTTTTTTTTCCTTTAATACTGAGTCTCACTCTGTTACCCTGTTATGCCGTGTGTCATAACTCACAGCAACCTCAAACTCTTGGGCTCAAGTGATCCTCTTGCCTCAGCATCCCCAGTAGCTTGGACTACAAGCACCTGCCACAATGTCTAGCTATTTTTCTCATTCTTGTTCAGGATTCTGAGCTCAAGTGATCCACCAGCCTCGGCTAGGAGTGCTAGGATTATACGCTTGAGCCACCACACCTGGCAAATGTTAGAGAATTTTAAAGGCAAATTAAATTATGTGGAATGAAGGAGAAAACAGTTCATTAATAAAATGTCTAAAATATTCCAAAAGCTTCCTGATGGAAAAAGTTAAAATACCTTACTTAGCTCTGGAGATCTTGTCTCAAAAAATAGCCAGTAGTCTGTTTTTTAGCCAGCCTCCCTCCTTGGGAGGCTGAGGCAAGAGAATCGCTTGAGCCCAAGATTTTGAGGTTGCTGTGAGCTATGACACTACGGCATTCTACCAAGGGTGACAAAGTGAGACTCTGTGGCTCAAAAACAAACAAACAAAAAACCTGAAAAGAAGTTAGCTATTGTCTTATTAACCAATGTGCTGAAAATGATAGGACACACTCCAAAGATTTGGGCTAGCTAAAAGGAAAAAAAGACATCTACTTTGGCAGACCTTTTGTTCATCTTCCAGATGTTTGCTGAGAGGTAATTTAGTTTACTTATGTTATACATATTATCATATATAAAAAATCAGACGTAGAAAGCAAAACTTTTCTTAGTTTTTCACCTTTCAATTCTGTATAAACTGAGTAAGACTCAGAAAACTGCTCTCAGTACTATTCTACTCCATCATATGAAAATTCAGAACCAGGATTTTAAAATTAGTGCCCTATGGAAATAATGGGCTGTCATATCAGTAAATGAAGGCTGGCATTCTTTTGACCAAATGACATTCTGCTAATTTTTTTCTAAGCACTTAATTTCTTTTTTCTTTTTTCTTTTTTTTTTTTGAGACAGTCTCACTTTCTTGCCCCAGTAGAGTGCCGTGGCATCATAGCTCAAACAACCTCAAATTCTTGAGCTGAATCAATTCTCCTGCCTCTGCCTCCCAAGCAGCTGTGATTACAAGCGTCCAACACAATGCTGGGCTATTTTTAGAGACTGGATCTCACTCTTGCTCAGGTCGGTCTCAACTCTGAAGCTGAAGCCATCCATCCACCTAGGCCTACCCAGAGTGCTAGTGGCCTGAGCTACCACACCTGCCCTAAGTACTTAATTTCTATTATTAAGGTGCTTCTACTTCCCTAACTACAATGGTCTGCTAGTCCCTGACAATTTTCCCTTAAGGCAGTGGTTCTCAGCCTTCTTAATGCCTGATCCTTTAATACAGTGCCTCATGTTGTGGTGACCCCCACACATGAGAAGCGGTGTCTGGGTTCCTACGACCATAGGAAATATGTGTTTTCTGATGGTCTTCGGGAGACCCTTGTGAAAGAGGAAAGGCTCGTTTGACCCCCAAAGGGGTGGCGACCCACAGGTTGAGAACTGCTGCCTTAGGCCTCTGTATTTTCTGTTGATTCTGCATGGAAAGCCTTGCACAGACTTCCCAAACAATGTCATTTGATGTAAAGCTATCCCACAACACTCTTTAATTTGCTTCATTTTTCTGCTGGTCATCACCTAACCTATACTGTTTATCTGTACGTTTAATGAAACAGGAGGGTTTATTATTTATGACTACACTCCAATTCCAAGAATGGTGGCTAACAAAAAGTGGCACTCAAAATATATCAGTTAATCAGCAAATAAGTAGCTTAAACTAATTGTGGTCTACCGCTCTCCTCTAACAAGCTTTGTACAGCATTTACTTTGGGTGGTACCTTCTTTTTATTTCATAACATGAGCCAGCAAGCTACCTCTATAGCTGAGCTACTGAACATATCATGGTGCAACAAGTAAATGAAATCAGCAAAAGAGAACTCCCCAACTCAATAATAGAGCTACTCAGGTGTTCCAACTCAGTTTATAAAACTTCCAGCCAATGCTTATTTCTTTGCGTCAAATTTAATTTTCAAAGATACGATCTTTCTAAATTTCTAAAATGAAAAATAAATGATGAATTCCTAGTTTTAAAAACTATGTAGGATTTGAATGGAATTTCACACCAATTAGAAGGATAAGTATTATTTAACAAAGAGACCTCATTTCACTTGTGGGTTTTGGATCAATGATTTTAACATTTAAATAACCTCCAACAGGCTTCACATTAACACCTTATAGACCTGAAAGAGTCCTTAGGAAGCAAGGAGGCCTCCCTGTTCCGCAAGTTCTACCCCCATTCAAGGAAACAGAATTAACAAAGACCAGTAGGACACCTCTCCCCAAATCATCATAAATTCCAATGAATTCCAGGCCTGTGAAGGCTGATGAAAAACACTGGATTAAACAAAATTTTATAAATGTTACCTCAAATTAACTAATTCAGACTATGGGAGGTATCACTTTTAAAGTACTCACCAAACACAAATGGATGTTCTTCTTTTCAGGTTTTTCTCAGACTTTTATAATACACTTCTAAATTTTGGTAATAATTAATATCAGTTATCATATAATCCACTTTGTTTTAAACGTTGAAAAATGTACTCACTTTTACATGTATATAATTCGTTTAAAAGAATAAATTTGACTGCTCACTAGCAACATTTTGTAAATTTCAGGTATCTTTTAATTAACACATGATAAATTTATTAAAAGAGAAGCTTCCTTTAAATTATCTAAGCTTGTAACACTTGATGATATTAAACAAAAAGAAATAACATTTGTTGTTATAGGAAATCAAATGCAGAAAGTCTCTTAATGTTATCTGTGGAGCCTCATATCTTATTAACTACACTCCAAATAAATTGTGGTTTTACCATTAAGACAATCTTTCTATGATAATCTACTACCAAACTGTAAAACATAGCAGCCAGAAATTAAGACTTTATAAAGTACATCACAGATTATAAAAAGGAGAAAAAGAAAAAGGTTTATAAGGTGTTAATGTGAAAGCCTGCTGGAGGTTATTTAAATGTTAAAATCATTAATCCAAAACCCACAAGTGAAATGAAGTCTCTCTGTTAAATAATACTTATCCTTCTAATTGGTGTGAAATTCCATTCAGATTCAGTTTTATATATTTTATAAAACTAGGAATTAATCATTTATTTTCCACTTTAGAAATTTAGAAAGATCATGTCTCTAAATTGAAGATCATGTCTCTAAATTAAAATTATGTACCTTTGTGGGAAAAATAACGAAATTTCATGCATTTTTAAAAGCCAGGGAAATGGGCTTTCCCTCCCAATTAAAACACAGCATTATACTCCGTAAATCTCTGTTATATAATACTAAAGGCAAGGTTATTTTATGACTACCTATTATTGACTTTTGAAGGGCATCCAACTTCCTTAGGAGCCTATAGAAACAAAAATGAAGTAGTTACCTTTTCAGTGCCTCTTTTCTTTTCCCGAGGCTGATTAAGTTTGGCCTGTCTATCAACCAAAATCTTCTGCCAGTACCTTTGTTCGTGATCACCTTAAAAACAAAAACTGATTAATGAACACAAGATACATGTGAAAAAAACATATTCAAGGCATTAGAGACTGAATAATAGAACTGGAAAACGTATTTGATTATAGTTAATGCTAGGTTATGCACATTGGAGTATAGAAAAAAATACCAGTTTCATCAGCCAAACTCAGAAAATACAATTACCCATAATAAAAATTGTTAGAAAAGAAATTTCTATAAAGTTTTACCAGAAAGAATCTCAATTTTCCAGCAGTGTTTCCTTTTAATTTCCGCATGTGCACTTATTACTGCTTGAGCATCCTCAGGAGTTTTAAATCTAGCATGGCATTCTGTATCTCCTTCTAGCAAATCTACATAAACAACTTCTGAGATGGCCGCCAAAGTATCCTGCATTAGAGTTAAGTAGTAGAATTTAAAAACTTTAAAAATCAGCAATAAGAATGTTTCATAATTCTAAAATCATTCCAATGGTTTTTCCAGAATGTGTTATATAAGCCATTATGCAGATTAATGAGTGAATACCCAAGCCTAAACATTTCTCCTACAGTATATACAAATGTTCCTTAATAGAGATTTGCAAAAAAGAGAACTAATTTAACATCAACTCTAATCATAATTCAATTTCCTTATTTAAAATCTGAACTAGAATGGGAATATCCTATAGGGACAAAAGATTTCTGGTGTAGATTTATGGCCCCAAGTCAGGAAGAGTTTAAGTCATGGAACAGGTAGTATTAAGGAACAAAAGTAAAAGAAAAAGTGCTTAGGGAAGAAAGTACTTTCACTCATTTGTACAAAATTACTTATAATTTAAAGTGTAAAAATCATCAACTTTTGATAACAGCTCGTGAAAAAAAGTTTCATCTAATCTACTTAGCTCAAGAATTTTTACTTTTTGGAAAAAATATCTAAGTAGGGGCGGCGCCTGGTTCAAATCCGATCCCGGCCAAAAAAAACCGCAAAAAGAAAAAAAAAAGAAGAAATACCTAAGTAACATCCTCTTCTAAGCAAGTTGTGGTCACCCAGCAAGAAAAAGTTTTACCTAACTTACCTGCTGTGAGGGCAAATGAACCAGATTCCTGCATTCTTAAATCAATTTTTTCCACAGCAGGTGCCACAGAGTATACAATGCATTTATGCAGGAATGTTACACTAATTCCCCATTCTTCACCTTCCATTCATAAAGCTAAAGAAATAACTGGAGATTCCCAATTGGGAAAAACAAAAAAGCCTGATTTATCTCACTTCTTAAGTTTTGAAACAAATTTTCAAGACACAACTAATTTAGATTATTTTTAGATGTTTAAATTGTGAAAAGTAATAAATAACACCTAGAAATATTACTTCATCCTAGAAAAAGAAAAGTTTATTAGTTAATAACAAAGGATATGTAATAAAAAAAATCTGTGAGCTTTTAGAAGCTAGGGAATAGATCTCAACTAATCCCAGCATTTAGCATACTATCACAACAAAGATATACTTAGTAAATGTTTGCTGAATCAATAAACAAATAAGAAATGGAAAGAAATACACTTGTCAATCCTATCCATTTCTTTATCTAGTTTATTAGCACTAAATTTAGACACAAAGCAAAAAGAATGATCAGTATTAAAGTGATGAAATTCTAATGTATTCATTGGTAGTACTGAGAGTTTTATAATTGATTTTCCAGACAGATTCAATTACTACAACTCAAAAGATATTTACTATATATCCATTATAATGTCAGGCTAATCTCCTGGTTTTAAAATCCTTAGAATTTAAAACCCTTTGAATGACAAATTAGCCTGGTAATCACTTGGGCAAGTCACAGCAGTAACCACCATAACAGCTCAGTTTTTGTTCCAGCAAAATGTAAGTAACTATTAACTTGATTAATACAGTGATGTAATTTTATGATTTTGGTGATCATACTTGAACAATGTGCAATTGATATAATTACAATTTAGATCATAAACTCTTTGATTAATTAAACCTATGATAGCTATTCCAAATACCGAACCTTGAATAATCTTTATATTAAATCTTTCATGATCTAACCACAACAGCATTTATATCCCTCAATGTTTTAGCCTTCTTATTCTAAATGCTATATGGTACATTGCTACCATAGCCTGAAATGCAGGCTGGGAAATAGCAATTTGGATTGGCTACATCTCTCACCAATAAGCAAAGAGAATAAAAATTTATGTCTTAGTGACAGCAGCAGAGTTTTAGGGTAGGATGTCAGTTAACGGTGCTTCCAGATGATTATAGCATGTGATAACCTTGACTTTTACGTAAGAAAGTCATTTTGGAATCCACTGAAAGCTAATAGTGCTAATGAGAACAAATTTTCTAGTTTGCTCCAAAACTACACAATATCAAATGATCGTAATTTTGAAATAATTTCAGACCAATTCTAATACTGATTAAATCTTCAAAATAGTTTTGGTGCCAAGTATTTTTCTTTTTTTCTGAGACAGTCTCACGCTGTCTCCCTGCTTAGAGTGCCATGTCATAGCTCACAGCAATCTCCAACTCGGGCTCAAGCGATCCTCCTGCCTCAGTTTTTCTATTTTTAGTAGAGATGGGGTCTCACTCTTGCTCAGGCTGATCTCCAACTGTGAACTCAAGCAATCCACCCACCTCAGCCTCCCAGAGTGCTAGGAATTACAGGCGTGAGCACCTGGCCCCAAGTAATTTTCTAAAACCTATTTTTACTGAAAAGAGAAAAAAGTCTTTTGAAAAATAAATATTGGGAAAATACTGCAACTACTTCTTTAGTTAAAATGACTATAGAATATTTACCCATTCAACTGCACAGCAGCCAACCATTAGAAATAACGATAAAAATAAGCACAAGTTGCAATTTTCCTACAGAGTGCGATAAATTGTACTGTGTACATTTTATTTAGTAAAAAATTTCAGTCTTTAGATTTTGCTTCAAGGTAAACCTAAGAGTTCACCATGGACCACAGAATCAAAATCCTAAAGACAGTTTACCAAAGAGGTACAAATTCTAATTTAATTTGTTTTGTTTTCCATATTCAAAACATTTTCACACTAGGAAGTTAATAAGAAGAGAATGGGACAAATACCCATTTCTCAGAATCATTACCCGGACTTGTTTCCTGCCAGGTAGAGGCTCAGTGCTAACAATCTTCACAATCACTCCACTCACAAATTGTGGTCCCATTGTATTTGTATTAACTTTCTCCTGGGGGGGACACTCTTTACTGTTGGCTGTAGATAGGAAAAGACCAAGAATAAATCTCTTATATTTAACAATTTGTCACTTAAGGAGAACCACTTTAGAATAGTTAACAATAATTTCAGAGGCTGATTTAAATAATCAATTTAAAATTTTTTGAATTTTAAAAATAATTAGATTTTGATGTCATACCACTCATTTCAGATTACTGTGAAAAAAAATACAGAAAGTTTAATTACCCTACATGTAAAATGATACTGTTAGAACATCTGTAAAACTTTAAAAACTGCCTGAACCAAGAAACAAAAGAACTTTAGTTAATAAAGCAAAAACTAATCAGACACAGGATATAAGAATATTCTAAACACAGTATTTATTCAAAACTGAAAATTTTACTGTATGCAGTAACTTGAAATGTATCCTAATTTTGAACAACTCATAAAAATATTGTTCTAGCTCTCTCCTCCTCTTCTCTCCCTCCTCTCTTTTTTCTCCCCCTTGGTGCTCTCTGCAGCATCCCTCACCAATAAAGACCTTGTGCCTTTTGTACAAGCCTTGGTGGTCTGTGAGATTGATGCTGGTTGAGTGCCGCCCTTTCACCTTTCCTATTTAGCCTTGTCTTAACTTTTGCAGAGCTTTTTCATATCTATCAATAAACTCTGAATAGTCTAAAAAAAAATTGCTCTAATTTATTCCTGTTCCTGGTTCACAATATGAAATGAAATTACAGGAGAGAAATTACAATCTCTACAAACTTGGTCAAACTACAAACTAGGCTCATTACTAAACCTAATAGTAATAAAAACTGTAGAGACAGATGAATTTATTAAATGTGACTAAACTGGGCCCTTCAAATATTCTTATATCAAGAATGAATAAGTCACAAATCTGGACATCTTGAGAAATCAACCATCATTCTAATAGTGACCACTGTGTAATCAAGTTTTTTTAAATTAAGATTTATCATATAATTCATAAATAGACTTTTCATATATAAATACATAACAATGTTAACATAAACAATCATAGTGACTCTTACTTTTTTCATCTTTTGTTCCAGAATTAGGAGGTACCCCACCGTCTGTTTCCATTTCAGACTCCGATTTTATTTGGGATATTGTTTTTTTCAAAGAAGCCATGCTAGCTTTTTGCAGTGCTAAATATTCTTTTTTCAAATCCATCCATTCACTCCTGCAAGGAAAGAAATAAAACTACTGAAATAGTGAAACAGGTGACTAAATAAAAAATAAATATGGAAATATTGCAACCACTCCTCCCAACATTCCCATTTCTTCAAAAACACACCCTCAAAATATATCCTGGGTTCTCAATCCAGGTAGCAAACAAGCAAAGGGTGTTCCTCCAGCCCCAACATTCAGGTTAAACATTTTAACTTTGCCAATTAAATTGTTGAGTGTTTCATTTATTTTAATTTATGAAAATAAAATTTTAGCACTAGTTCTTTGACTGACAGTAACACTAGGTATATCAGAGGTCTCTGAGGGAAAGAAAACCCGAGAGATTGAAGATTTGTTAAGCTGCTTCCAATTTAAGAGATAACATTCCTTAGTATTTACGTGAATTAAAAGGAATTTCTAAGAAGAAAAAAACACCCCATGGAAGCAATTTATTTATTTACATACATTTAACATGTAGATGTTTCTTCAAACAGCTAGAGCTCCTCTAAATAGAAACACAAAGCCTCTCCGGGTTCTGCGGGAGCACTCATTGTTACCCTAATCTGTGCCATCAAACAAGCAGATAGGAGATTTTTTTTTTTTTAGGGGAGGATATCTTGTGGTAATGGTTTTAGCTGTTAACATTGACATCTGTATACTTCAAAAAAAAAAAAAAAGTACCCAGACCCACCCAGGATCATACATTCCCTGAGAGCTGCTGATACATTAAAATAACAAAAGGCTCTTGTAATGATTCTCTGAGATAAAAAGGCAAAAGGAATCCAGGAGTTTAGAATAGTATAAATAGAAGTGCCAGAAGTCCTTGCCTTTTACTCATCTACAGGAGAGGAGGAATCTCTGGAAACTGGATCAGAGAGGGTAAACGAAATCTTTTCTCTAGAAGGTTGCGGGTTTTCTGTTTTCCTACTCAGCAGCTTCTCACCCCTCGGGTCCAAATCAATTTATATGGATGGGCTCCCTTCAACTTTAACATGGAGGTGCTTTCTGTGACTTTTAGAGTAAGTGCTTCCATGTTTTAGTAGAAGTGAATCCAACTTACTTCTCCAAAGGAACAGATGCTTAACTTCACTAACTTTTTTATAGACCTTGAAGGGATCCCCTTTGCTTTAACATGGGGGTACCTGCTGTCTGAAACAAAAGTAAGTGCTTCCATGTTTCAGTGGAGGTGTCTCCAAACTGAAGCGACTTTGGTATCTTTTTACGTTTAATTTTGTTATAAGGTTATTTTGTTGTAGGTTAAAAGATTCTTAGTTTTTCCATTTACTGGGCTTCCCACTACTTAAATGTGGATGTACTTGCTTTGAAACTAAAAAAGTAAGTGCTTCCATGTTTTGGTGATGGTACGTCTTATTTATTTTCATAAGTCTTAAAAAGCATTTCACTGAGCTGCCTTTTTTAGTACTTTAAGTTGTACTTTATATTTTTAAGAGTCTATTAAGGTGTCCTCTCTACTTTAACATGGAGGCATTTGCTGTGACATAACAAAAATAAGTGCTTCCATGTTTGAGTGTGGTGACTCCTACTTAGTCTTCAATTGCATTAAACCCACGTTGTGTGCAGATCTTGGCTACAGGCCATGACTGTTGCTAATATGCAACTCTGTTGAATATAAATTGGAATTGCACTTTAGCAATGGTGATGGACTGTTCAGTCAATTGCCAACGACAAGAAATTTACACCATGTACTTACTTTGACAGTACTCTTAATGGTATAACCTCTTCTCCCATTTTATGTCTCTCTTTATGTTTTTTCTTATGTTTCCTTTTTGTTTTTAAGAGAGAGCTATCTTTTATGTCTCCAGTATCCTTTTCCTCTTCAGTAGAGACTTCTAAATCTTGAGAAATAAACAGCAAGGTAAAGCATGTGGCGGTAAAATGGATGTAACAATAACTTGGTTTCTCCAATCCTTACCTCTGTTTTCTTTAGAAACTTTTGAAGCTTCTTTTTGAAGGGTGTCTTTCTGAGCCATTTTCTTTACTTTTGATCTGGGAGTTAGGGCTTCTGCTTCTTCAGAGCTGCTTCTCTTCCTCTTCCCTGTTCTGACTTCAGGTAAGCTAGATACTTCAACTTTATCTCTTTTTTTCTTTTTCTTGGAGGGCTGCTTTTGGGGCTCAGGAGTTTCTACTTCAGAGCTCTCAGATGTGGTTCTCGATCTTTTTATTTTACAGACACTCAAATCGCTTGAGTCGATATTTAACTCTTTCATCTGGACATTGTCTTCTTTCTTCATTCGGCCTTTTTTCTTCTTTTTCTTTTTCTTTTCTTCTGTAATGATATCATTAGTATCATTTTCCTTCAACTAAATCCACTTAAGTATTAATTAGATATAATTATAATTACAATTACTCACCAGCTGTTCTTAAGGAAGGAATGGGTTTATTTTTTACTGTCTTAGGAAATATGCCAGGTTTCCTGGGGGCTTCTTCTGGTGGGTTGTTAAGAAACTGAAATAATTGCAAAGTTATTAAAACTTGTTAAACTTTTAACTTTTTGTTTTCTTTTCCTTTTAGGCCTGGACCTACCTCAATAGCTTTTGCTGCTTGTTCTTTTGTTTCAAATTCCACAAAGGCAAATCCCTTTGGATCTCCAGTAGACTTGTAATGTGGTATACTTATGTAAACAACATTGCCACATTTCCCAAATACTCTTTCAATCCAGCTGTGATTAACATTTTTAGGAAGTAACTCCTAGGATAAATTAGAAGCAATATTTAATAATTATGGCGTAAGCTTTTCACAATCCCTACACCTTATTCAGCATCCCAATAAATTTTAACTTAATTAATGTGTTTCTGTGTCACTTTCTGGCGGGGGACCTGGGCTCTTAAGAAAAATAGCTTACCACATACACTGTCCGCTCATCCTCATCCTTTGGTCTTTCACCCAGGGGCTTTTTCCTTCTGATTCTGGTGCCTTCTAAATCCAGCTTTAAAATAATACATTACATTAATCAAACTAAATATAATTATGGGTGGTATTATAAAATTATTCTTACCTCTACAACAGCTGAACTTTTCAAAGCTCTGGCTATTAACTTCCCATCAGTAGTTAATTTCTTCATTTTGTTGAAGGACACCAGAAGTGATATATCAACATCTAATAAAAATGGAAATGTAAAAGGACAGTAAAACTAAAGCAGGATAAATGAGATTCAATTTTGTTAAAGCTTCCCCCTCTTCACCCATAAACTATTAATACAACAGGGTGTATGTCTAGGTAGGAGTACTCTGTGCTGCATTTTTGGCATGCCTAAAAACATGAATTACCTGGCACATGGTCATTTGGATTAGGTGAAATGCTTTCCTTTATGAATTTATCTCTGAGATGCACATAAGTGGCTGTTGAAGCAATTAAATTCTTAAGTCTCACTAGTAAATGGTGTTATAGCTGGCTGCAACTGCAAACTCGTAGACTTAAGGGATTTTCGTGTTTCACCCTCCTGCACAGCTGGGATTGATAGATGTCCCTGTTAACCAATAGTTTCTATCTTTTCCTTAGAGATGGGGCTCTCACTCTATCAGTAGGTTTTTGAAAATATTTTATTCTGGTTTAAAGTTTTACAGCTTTCACTATCAACAGGTCTTTGGGAATATTTTACTGTTCTGGTTTAAAGTTTGCTTATTTAATACAGGTCTGAAGAGTTCAATTTTTTAAGTTCTGTTTTAGAAGTTAATTCAAAGACAATACATATCCAAAATTCGGTTATGTAGCGGCTCAGTAGCACTCTGGAAGGCCGAGGTGGGTGGAAAGCCTGAGCTCAGGCATTTCACTCTAGAGCAAGAGTGAAATCCCATTTATACTCTAGAAAAATTAGCCAGGTCTTGTGGCAGGTGCCTGTAGTCCCAGCTACTTGGAAAGCTGAGGCAGGAGCTCTTAAGCCCAAATTTTGAGGTGGCTGTGAGAGCTATGACACCACGGGATACTCTATCCAGGGGGACAAAGTGAGAAAAATTCACTGTTAGTATATACTGAAGCAAACTTACATCCATCTCTAGATTTTTCTATCTGCTCACGAAGAAATCGGTCCTTGTGAAGATTTGCATCTCCAAACCAGAAGTCTACTTGCTTTGCAATATCTGCAAGCACCTGTTTAACTCGAGATCTTTTCTTTTTTTCTACTTCCTTTTTCTTTTCAGTGCTTTCTTCTTCCATTGCCTTTTCTTGGTTTCCACTTTCAGTTTCCATTCCTGTGAATTAGAAAACAAACAAAGAACCTCTGTAAGTTGACCACTCAAGAGACTACAAACTGGTCAACATACAAAGATATGTATAGTCTATGAAAACTGAAGGAGGTGGTAACGTAAGGAGGTGATCAACTTACAGAGGCTCTGCTGTATTTTACTTGCCACAAAAATCGCTAATAATAGGAAGATATTTAGTTTTTAATTGTCTGAGTGGATACTGGGCTCAACACTGGCTGCCAGAAAATAAACTTTTCAGAGGAAGGCTTGTCCAACATTTCTGATACAAATCAGCTGAGGAAAATTTCATTGCCCCTGTGATTTTTTTTTCTTGTTTTTTAGCTCTTCCTGTTCATTTTCCACTGGCCTTACTTTTTATTTTTCTGTAAAATTTGTAATGCATTATTTCGTAAGTAAAGGTACATTTAGTTCTAGTTGCCCATTTTACTCCACCATATTATGTATGGTGGTCTGTAGGACACCCTGTAGTTTACCTCCTCTGTCAGGGATCACAGCTATAGTTTTTAGTTTTTGAGACAGTCTCAAGCTATTGCCCTGGGTATAGTGCTGTGACATCACAGCTCATAGCAACCTCCAACTCCTGGGCTCAAGCAAGTCTGCCTCTGCCTCCCAAGTACCTGGAACCACAGGCACCCGCCACAATGCCTGGCTATTTTTTGTTTGCAGCTATCGTTGTTTGGTGGCCTGGGCTGGATTTGAACTCACTAGCTCAGGTGTATGTGGCTGGCGCCTTAGCCACTTGAGCCACAGGCACAGAGTTGATTTTTAGTTTTAAAATGTTAATTTATGCTTTCTAGAAGTAGAATTCAACCGCTAAGCTGTAGGATCAGCCTTTTTTTTTTTTTCTTTCTTCTTTTTGTAGAGATAGAATCTCACTTTATCGCCCTCAGTAGAGTGCCATGGCATCACACAGCTCACAGTAACCTCCAGTTCCTGGGCTTAGGTGATTCTCTTGCCTCAGCCTTCCCAGTAGCTGGGACTACAGGCGCCCGCCACAATACCTGGCTATTTTTTTGTCTTAGTTGCCAGGTTTGAACCAACCATCCTACCCACTGACTGAGCCATAGGCGCTGCCCAGAATCAGCCTTTCCAAATGCCCTTTTTACCCAGTATTTATTTGTTGGCCATCAATTACCACCCACTCCTTCCATAAGTTACTTTGTATACACTGTCTATGTGATCTTTCCCTTTGCTCTCTCAGCTCCAGCCATACTGGCTGTGCTCTTCCCAAAACTCATCCAGCAAAATCTTATCAGAGCATCTTTTGAACTTGCTGCTCTCTCTGAAACATGTATCTCCAGGGACGATATGGCTTGCTCTCCTGCCTCCTCAAGTCTTTATTCAACTGACATTTCAGTGAGGTCTCCCCCTACAATTACACTTTAAAATACAAATTTCTGGACAGATGAATAGGTAACTCCTCTGCCTTGTTTTTCTCCACGGCACTTATCACTTTATAACATTAGTTCACAATTTATTTCCTTATTCTTTATCCTTCCTGGAACGTAAGATCCATGAAATCACAGATTTTTGCTTGTTTTGTTTACTGATGCATCCCTGGTGCATTGCCTGGCATGTATTGATAGTAGTTGCTCAAAAATTTGCTAAATGTTTTTAAAATTCGTTGAATAAATTCAGTCATTAGAGGTACACACACAAATATTAATGAATGAACAAAGGGATTACCATCAGGCCTAAGATGATGCAGGCCTGCCTGAGAAGACTCACTTTCCCATAATATGGCCTTGGAAATAGGACAAATGGGTAGACTTAGACCCGTTTCTCTGTTGTATTTGGGTTGGAACAGATATGAGTTGGCATACAGGCCTGGGACCTATGTGATGAAAATGATATAAAACATTGGTAGGCAAAAGAGTTTTTATGTGCAAGGTATCCTCAACACAGCTTGGTTCTTACCTAAAAAAGTCATATATGCCTTTTGTGGGTAGGAGGCAAAAAAAAAAAACAACAAAAAAAACGGGTTTAGGTATACGCTGGATTAGCTAAGTGCTGAGGCTGGTCCTCCTGATGAGATGAGGAGGCAACTACTCTACTGTCTGCCTTGTATTCTTTTTTAAAAGGAGAGTAAATGTCGCATTTGTATCTCCTAAATCTGCAGGCTATAATTGATAACTGTTACAGTGATGCTGCGGACAGTAAGAGAAACAGATAATGTGTTTCACAGTGATATCCAGCAAGAAGGTACAAAGCCTGTAAAGCACTTCATCTCCAGTCTCCAATTAACCACAAGCCCTTAAAGCACTTCACCTCCAATCTCCAATTAACCGTGCATTCTCATCAAAGTAACAGAAGAGAATTTTGGCATTTTTAGAACACCCTTCAGCCAATCAGTCAGGTACCAGTATTGAAAATACACAAGTAATGATGTATTTAGTTGGTATGAGCTGAAGACATAAAACGCAGCTACAAATCAGATTTGATGACTAGAAAAACAATTAGGTATTATTTGTACTGAATAACCACATTCCTCACTTCCTACTTTCTCTCTTAGCAGCATTTGCAATTGATAACTCCCTCCTTGAAAATATTTTCTTCATATAGTTTCCAAGAATTGTCCTGTATTCTTGGAATTCCCTTTTGCTCTATCACCCTCCTACTATGCTCAGCCTTATATGCTGCCTATCACTGGACTCAGTCCCCAGCTTCCTTCTAATCTCCCGGCTGTAAGCTCCTTGGCTTAATGCTGATGTTTCACAAACCTGCTTTCTCTCACTAGCTCCCCATTCCAATATTCAGCTGTCCAATGGACACCTCCACTAGTTTATCTAAAGGATATCTCAAAGTTAATATGCCAAAAATAGAACTCTATTTTTTTCTGAGACAGGGTCTTGCTCTGTTGCCCAGGCTAGAGTACAATAGCATCATCATAGCTCACTGCAATGTCAAACTCTTGGGATCAAGGGATGCTCCTGCCTCAACCTCCCAAGTAATTGAGATTACATGTGTGTGCTACCAGGGCCAGCTTATTTTTCCTTTTTTTTTTTTTTTTTCTGTAGAGACAGGTTCTTGCTATTTTGCCCAAGTTGGTGTCAAACTCCTGGCCTCAAGCTGGCCTCAAGTAATCCTCCTGCCTCACCTTCCTAGAGTGCAAGGATTAAAAGGCATGAACCATCAGGCCTGGCCAGAACACTCAAATTTTAACAAATCTATCTTTATCCTAGTGTTTCTGTTTTTTGAGACAGAGTCTCAATTTGTTGCCCTTGTTAGAGTGCTATGGCATCATAGCTCACAGCAAATTCAAACTCTTGGGCTCAAGCGATTCCCTTGCCCCAACCTCCCAAGTGGCTGGAACTACAGGCTCCTGCCACAATGCCTGGCTATTTTTTAGAGATAGGGTCTCCTCTTGCTCAGGCTGGTCTTGAACTCCTGAGCTCAGGCCAGCCTGGGCCTCCCAGGGTGCTAGGATTACAGGTGTGAGCCACCACCGTCCTTCTTTACCCTAGTCTTTCCTATTTCAGAAACATCAGTTACAAAATTGCTGAGGGGGCAAAAACCTTGGTATCATGTTTAATTCCCTTTCCTTCACACTCCATTAGCTATGCCTGAGTATGAATTTTTATCTCTTTCATCATAAACACCTGGTCCAAGTTTCCAACCTGTCTTGTCCTCAAATAACGCAAGACCTTTCTTACTAATCTGCCTGCTTCTACCCTCCTTCCCTTATAATCAATTCTCCAGATAGAATAACCATTGAAGTATGCAAATCAGCTCATGAAAAATCCCTGCACAAACTCCTCCATTGGTTTCTTAATCATCTTAGAATAAAATCCAAAGACTGTATTGTGGTTTACTATGCTCTATGTGATCTGGCCTTATGATATCTACCTTCATCTCACTCAATGTTTTCTAGCAGGCTCACTTGAATGATAACCCACCATCTCTAGGTTCTCTAAACATGCTAAGGCCATTCCTCCTTCGAGGCTTTGCTCTAACTGCTCTTTCCCTTCTCTGTCATATCTGCATGGATTACCTCCTTGTTTACTAGGGTCTCTGCAAATGTCACTTTCTCAGTGAAGCTTATTCTTTCACTCCATCTAAAATACTCCCTCCAAGGCCGAGCATGGTGGCTCACGCCTATAATCCTAGCACTCTGGGAGGCTAAGGCTGCTCTGAGCTCACAGGTTCAAGACCAGCCTAAGCAAGAGACCCCCCCCCCCAATCTTTAAAAATAGCTGGGAGTTGTGGCGGGCGCCTGTAGTCCCAGCTACTTGGGAGGTGGAGGCAAAAGAATTGCTGTGCCCAAGACTTGGAGGTTGCTATGAGCTGATTCCAGGGCACTCTACCAAAGGTGACAAAGTGAGACTCTGTCTCAAAAACAAAAAACAATAAACTCCCTCCCAGCTAAACTTAATCCTGTCTGCTTCCTCAGTCACCATATTCTATCTTTGTATCCTCTTACCATTCCCTAGAATTTTATGTATATTAAAAAAAAAACATATATGTATTTTCTTTTCTTTGAGACAGTTTCACTTTGTCACCCTTGGTAGAGTGCCATGGCATCACAGCTCACAGCAACCTCAAACTCTTGGGCTCTGGCTCGGCGCCTGTGGCTCAAGCAGCTAAGGCGCCAGCCACATACACCTAAGGTGGCAGGTTCAAATCCGGCCCGGGCCTGCTAAACAACAATAATGGCTGCAACCAAAAAATAGCCGGGCGTTGTGGTGGGTGCCTGTGGTCCCAGCTACTTGGGAGGCTGAGACAGGAGACTGGATTGAGCCCAGGAGTTGGAGGTTGCTGTGAGCAGTGAAGCCATGGCACTCTACCCAGGGGGACAGCTTGAGGCTCTGTCTCAAAAAAAAAAAACCACTCTTGGGCTCAAGAGATTCTCTTGCCTCAGCCTCCCTGGTAGCTGGGACTACAGGTGCCCACCACAATACCTGGCTATTTTTAAGAGACAAGGTCTCATTTTGGTTCATGCTGGTCTGGAAATCATAAGCTCAGGCAATCCACCCTCTTAGGCCTCCCAGAGTGCTGGGATTATAGGCGTGAGTCACCACTCCCGGCCTTGGAATTACATTTTTATCATCTACTTATCCTATTAAGAATGTAAACATTGGGTGGCGCCTGTGGCTCAAAAGGGTAGGGCACCAGCCCCATAGGCTGGAGGTGGTGGGTTTAAACCCAGCCCCGCCAAAAACTGCACCAAAAAAAAAAAAAAAGAATGTAAACATTGTGAAGGCAGGGATTTCACCTTGCTCACTACCTAAGCATCTGCTGAACAATTAAATAAATATATCTAAAAGTACCTATGAATAATTTCAAATTCTTAGGGTGGCAGAAAATAAATAAAATACAACGTACAACTGTCATTATCACTATGGTGGCTCCACGGCTAACTTTTTCTTTTTTTTTGAGACAGAGTCTCATTATGTCATCCTCAGTAGAGTGCTGTAGCGTCATAGCTCACAGCAACCTCCAACTCTTGGGCTTAAGCGATTCTCTTGCCTCAGCCTCCCAAGTAGCTTGAACTACAGGCGCCACCACAATGCCAGTCTGTTTTTAGGTTGTAGTCGTTATTGCTGTTTTTAGCAGGCCCTGGCCGGGTTCGAACCCTCTAGCCTCAGTGTATGTGGCTGGCACTGTAACCACAATGCTATGGGAGCCAAGCCAACCTTTTCTCTTGAAAATACTACTAATGTAAGTTGAAAATTCCTTTCCTTATCAAAGCCCACCATCTAAAAAACAATGGATAGCACTGCATTCGCACAGAAGTGAATCTCCCACAACTTCTCCCATCATTCACATATTTCAGCCCAGAGATCCTCCCACCATTCTTTCTCCTAAGTATTATTTTTGTGGTTTGGAGTCTTTAAGTTCAGAATGATCAAATATACTTTTGATTTAGAGGAAGGTATGGATTAAACAGAAAGTAACACAAGCTGGGGTCCAATTTAGCTCCCCGATGCAATGATTGCAGAAAATTAGGAATTTCCATGACAACACTTTTTTTTCTTTTTGAAGAGTGTCTTGCTTTGCTTCCTGGGCTAGAGAGCACTGGTGTCATTATAGCTAAATGCAACCCCAAACTATCTGGCTGAAGCAAGAGATCCTCCTGATCCAACCTCCCAAGCAGCTGAGACCATAAACATGTGCTACTATGTCTGGCTAAAATCTTTAAATTCTTGTGGAAATGAGGTCTTGCTATGTTGCTCAGGCCAGGGCAATATTATTTGCTAGAGTCTTGATCCTCAATGTCTGCACCTTCTTGATGTCTAGTGGTAACAGTTACGTATACTGTCACCCCAGGCATTCCAAATCAAACTCCCTTCCTACCCAGACTTGTCTTCCTACCACCCTCATCTTATTTAAGGATGCTATATTCCCTCAAGTTAGCTGATAAAGCTATTTGCTAGCTCTGTGAATTTGGGGCAAATTAGCTCATTCTACAAAATGTAGGTAACAATCACACCTACGGGCTTGGTGCCTGTAGCTTAAGCGGCTAAGGCACCAGCCACATACGCCAGAGCTGGCGGGTCCAAATCCAGCCCGGGCCCGCCAAACAATGACAACTACAACCAAAAAATAGCCAGGCGTTGTGGCAGGCACCTGTAGTCCCAGTACTTGGGAAGCAGAGACAAGAGAATCGCTTAAGCCCAGGAGTTGGAGGTTTCTGTGAGCTGTGATGTCATAGCACTTTACTCAGGGCGACAGCTTGAGGTTCTGTCTCCAAAAAAAAAGATCATAACTACAAAGTAAGATTTTTGAGAGAATTAACCAAAATAATTTAAAGTACTTTAAATTGATGTTGTATACAGCATACTCCACGTGAACCATTATTGTTATACCAATCTGTCACTAAAGACTATCAATTTGAACTTTGAAATGGCCATCATCTCTATCCAGTGTTTTCTGCTACTGTTATCCATCCTTCACAGAAGCCTATGCATAAATAATCTAATAAAACAGATCTGCCAGATGCAGTGGCTCACACCTGTAATCACAGCACTCTGGGAAAGACTGCCTGAGCTCACAGATTCAAGACTAGCCTGAGCAAGAGCAAGACCCTGTCTCTAAAAATAGCAAGGCATTGTGGCAGGTGCCTGTAGTCCCAGCTACTGGGGAGGCTGAGACAAGAGAATCACTTAAGCCCAAGAGTTTGAGACTGCTGTGAGCTATGACACCACACACTCTATGGAGGGCTACAAAGTGAGCCTCTGTCTAAAAATAAATAAAGAAATAAACAGATCTGGTTTTGTGATGCTAATGAAAAACCTTGCAACATTCTAAGTTACTACTTAACAGTTAAAGGAAGGTGTCATTTAACATACGTATTTTAAAAAATGTTTAAAAACCCCCAGTAACATTTAACTGGCTTCTAAACATGGGCTTTAAACAAAGAATAAAAGTTATTGTGTAACAAGGCCTGTTACTTGACACACCTTGTTCTAAACCCCCACAAGCTCTCTAGGTGGTAGTTTTTTCCATTTTGGTTTACCAAGGCTCAAAGGTTAAGTGTCTTGTCCAAAGCTAGTCAGGTGGGTGAGTCCAGGTATGTCTAAGTACCACATTGCCTACTTTTTAGAACCTCATCTTGCAACTTGTCACTGTAGACCGTGTTCTGACTTAGGGACCTAAAGTCTATGGAACTTTGGCTGGACTCCATTAAACTGTTAAAGATAAATGTTAAGGTAAAATAATAACTCTCATACAAATATAAAATGAATACATGATAAAGATTTTAAGTACAGTCATGGGTTGCTTAATGACAGAGATATGAGAAACGTGTCATTAGGCAATGATGAAGTAATATCATAGATCATATTTACAATGTACTCAAAAACACCTAGATGATATCTGTAATTACACACCTATAATGTTTTGGGACCACCATGTACGTGAGGTCTGTCCTTCTGCCACACTTGATCCAACTGGTTAAAAACCAGTTCGAAGATAAATCCAAAGAGCTGATAAAGGACTGAAGCAATGGCTCACACCTGTAATCTCAGCACTCTGGAAGCCTCAGGAGGGAAAGTACCTTATGCTTAGGAGTTCAAGACCAGCCAGAGCCAGAGCAAGACCACATCTGTACTAAAAGTAGAAAAATCAGCTGAGTGTTATGGAGGGCACTGGTAGTCCCAGACCAGAAGCTGAGGTAGGAGGACTGCTTGAACTCAAGAGTTTGAGGGTTGCTGTGAGTTAGGCAGGAGGAATGATTGAACCCAGGAGTTTGAAGTTACTGTGAGCAAGGCTGATGCCATGGTACTCTAGCCTGAGGCAACAGACTGAGCTATTTGTCTCAAAAAAAAAAAAAGCTCATGGGTATATAAGCAATTTGGGATGTTGAAATGAAAGCTAATAAATACTGGTCAGGGCAATAATTGCATCTCAACTAGACAAACCTAATTTCCATTTTTATTGCTTTCTAAAATTCACTAAGTTGTAAAACAGCTCCACGACAATGAAAAGCACAGGTAACCTGAAGGGTGAGCTAGACAAAACAACTAATTTTTTCCTTTTGCCATTTCAAAGTCTTTCACAAGTTTTCCAGATAAAATTATATGCAAAATGTTTTGACAGGTACAGGCACATTTTCCTGGAAAGCTCAAAAGAACTTGTGTGCCAAAAAATATATATGTATTAATAAAGGCTAAGAACCCTTGTTCTAGCCACAGCCGATTATGCAACGGTTCCCGAACACTTGTTTCAAGGCCCAGATTAAATGGCATCTTAAGTCTCTGAGGCCTTCCACCACCTCGTCTCCTATTAACTGCCTCCTCACCTGTTTTACCTGAGCACTTTTATTAACGCTCTCACAGGACAACGTATTTACCACTTTATAGCTTGTTGAGCCTCTTCCATAAGTGTAATTTCAACTCTTTGAGCACAAGGACTAGAGTCCTACAAAACAAAAAGACTTAATTTTAGGAGTCCTCACATTCTTGGCCTCACAGGCAGCCAAAGGTCAAGACCAATCTGCGAAATAAGGCACTTCACCCACGACCTACAGCTGTCTCGGCATCCGTACTTCCGCACCGCACCGACGCGGTTAAAAGCCGGGCGTGCCCCAAACCTCCCAACGCCGGGCACTCCACGCCCCCATTCGCTGGACGCGAGAAACTGCAAGCGCCGCCGGGAGGCTTTGCGCGTGCGCACGGAGAATGAGGCGAGCTAACTGATGGGTTCGTGGGAGGGGAGGGGATGAGAGGGACGACACCTGGTAGAATCGACTGTCAGAAAAACGACCGAAAGGAATTCAGACTTCACCCAACCTGAGCCACCGTGTAGGTCGCTTATAACTTACTCGGCCCAATTCCCAATATACGGGGTCAAATACTGCGTCCTGCAGCCCTGCCCGTCTCCCGATGCTTATAGTCGTGGTTCCTTTCGCGTCATAGGACGAGCGACACAGCTCTCTGGTCGCCTTCTTAAAAGACGGGCCCACAGGCTGTGCGCCCGCCGCTACGTCACAGGCGTGGGCGGGCCCCAGAGGGGCGGGGCATCAGAGAGCGCTGCCGGAAGAGGAGGCTCGAAGCTGAAGAAGAATTCGATTGGCGACTTGAAAACGGCCGTTGTGGCTGAGGCGAAGGTGGGCGGGTCAAGAATTGGGGCCTCCAGTGGTGATGTCGCGGGTAATGACGTCACGCTCTTTCGCGGGAGAAATTCGAAGGTGGATTTTGTTTCGTCCATTGGTGAAGTGAGGTGTTTCTCGGGGTTTCCCGGGACTGAAGGGTGCGTAGGCAGGGAGACTTGAGTGATGTGGAACGGAAGGATGAAAGGATCTGCTCGTTAAGAAGCGGACTGGGAAGGTTGCTGTTTGGAACCAGGATCGGATGATGGCAGTCACAACTTGGCTCAGGCTGCCTCTAATAATTGGTACCTTGTCTTCACCGCTTTTTCTAAGTCCCTGCTTTACAATTCCGCGTATGTACGAGGACCAGCGGGGGTTTTGTTGTTTATAGGCCTGACAAAGGATCAAAGCTTTAGTGACATTTGGTGATTCAATATCATGGTTATTAGAATCTTGGACAGGAAATAGGAGTTTCCTTTGGTAACTTGGACTGCTATAGTTTCTTAATAGGGTGTTGAGTTTGTTATTCTGAAATTTTGTAATCTGAACCATTTAGACTCTACCTGTGGGTCGCGACCCCTTTGGGCGAACGACCCTTTCTCAGGGGTCGCCTAATATCAGATATTTACATTACGTTTCATAACAGTAGCAAAAATTACAGTTATGAAGTAGCAACGAAAATAATTTTATGGTTGGGGGTCACCACAACATGAGGAACTGTATTAAAGCGTCCCGGCAATAGATTTGAAGAATCCTGCTTATTCAAAAATAAAAGTACCCCCCAAAATCTTTTAATAAACAAGAATGGCTATTTTTACTGAGAACATGGAGTTTATATGTGGCACACACACATATACACTCTATATATGTATACACACACATATGTAATCTCCTTTGTATATATAAATATAAAATGTATGTTTTTCAATAATGTATGTGTGTATATATGTGCTTAGGTATGTGTATATGTTTGTATGTATGTATGTATATATTATCACAGAACATCTGAGGTCTCCACACCACTTTATAAACTTCTTTGCAGATTAATCTTTCACCTGTTAGGGGTGGATCACTCCAACTGAATTGTCGGACAGGCATGGACAGGTAAGACTTTATTTTTTATTCTTGCATTGTACTTAATTATTTGATGGTGTTGGCTAAGACAATTTTTCTTGTTTAATGGCAAGATTTTCCCTGCTTAATGGAAGTCTTAGGATTCTTATAATTTTTTTTTTTTAAGACAGAGTCAATGTCACTCTAGGTAGAGTGCTATGGCATCACAGCTCACAGCGACCTCAAACTCTTGGGCTTAAGTGATTCTCTTGCCTCAGCTTCCCGAGTAGCTGGGACTACAGGCACCCACCACACACCTGCCTATTTTTTGGTTGTAGTTGTCATTGCTGTTTTTAGCAGGCCCTGGCTGGGTTCGAACCTGCCTGCCTTGGTGTATGTGGCTGGCGCCCTAACTGCCGAGCTACAGGTGCCACACCTCTATTGATGCTTTTTAAATTAAAAGTTAAAACAGAAATTTAAGAAATATTTATGGATTCATTTTAAACATGAATGGAACCCTTTTCCTTGCATTATGTATTTGGCCCAAGGTGACCAGATTTTAACATTGGTAAAATGGGACACCATTGATGGGGGGTGGGAGTGGGTGGGTGTGGGGGTGTGGGGGGTGGATGTAGGGGGTAGGGGGGTTGGTTCTTAATTAAAAATTTGGTCTATATGGAGCAACAAAAATTTTCATAGAACGCAAAAATCGTATTATATATTTTTTAATTTCAACATAAGTACAATTTACAAATATAATACATTAAAAATTGTGTATAGTATTATTTTATTCTTTGGCATATTTCTCATTTGAGTGAATTTTTTTTAGTAGATTGCTATCATTTAAAAGGTCATGACATTTTTCACAAGAATTTGTTAAATTATTTTCACACATAAAATGGCTTTCAAAGTCTCAACACTTAATTGTGATTTTTCTGATGTCCACACTTTATTTACTGTAGAAAAAACACGTTCAGTCTCAGCATTAGTTCTGGGTAAGGACAGGGCTTATCCCACAATTTTTAGTGCATTATTGTATGGAACATGGTTTGTTTCAAAATGATGAAATATAATAATTTCACTCTACCCTGGGTAGAGTGCCATGGCATCACAGCTCACAGCAACCTCCAACTCCTGGGCTCAAGCAAGTTTTCTGCCCCAGCCTCCCAAGTAGCTGGGACCACAGGCACCTGCTACAATGCCCGGCTATTTTTTTGGTTGCAGCCATCATTGTTGTTTGGGGGGTCCCGGCTGGATTCGAACCCCCCCACCTTAGGTGTATGTGGCTGGCGCCTTAGCCACTTGAGCCACAGGTGCCGAGCCATGACAAAATATTTCTAACCATTTGTTCTCTATTGTGATTTTTGCTGACGCCCAAGAGTTAACCTTTTCCTTATCAATATATATTTTTAATAATGATACCTCGTAAGTCATAAGTGTCACTTTCAAGACTGGTGCTAGACTTTTTGCCACCACTATAAAATATAAATAATATGAGTACTGTCTGCTAAATTCGTGAAATAAATAAATAAATTACTTACCTAAATTATCTGAATAGCTGATTTGTTGACATCACTTGTTTAACTAGCACTAGCACGCAGTATGATGTGTATTGTCTGAGAGACAGTTACAAAATGTTTTCGTCATTGCCAGTGCCAAAAAATGCCATTGTTCATTAAGTCCAAACAATAGTGGTCGAATTCTAACAACTGATCAACAATGCGAACTGTGATAAGCAGTTCTCAACAATTATTTGTTATTATTAAAGTTTAACATTATAAAATTAGCAAAAATAATATAAAACTCATATTCTGGCAAAATAGCCACATGGCAGCTGAAAACCATATATTCCCTTCCTGTTCTCCCGCCGTTCCCTAGCTTGCTGTGCATTCTTTCCAAATATCAGGACTTTTTAAAAATAATGCGGGACAATTTGTTAAAAATTGGGACTGTCCCACCAAAAGTGGGTCGTCTGTTCACCTTACCAAGATATTATGGTATATTGTCTTTAAGATGCAGAAGGAAAAATTAAAACTACAAGGGGGCCATCTTGTGGTAACCATCACAATTCAGAAAATTTTTAAAAAACTGAATTCAGGCTATACGGAACTAGACACGTGGAGAGGAAAATCATATTTTCTGATACTTACTATGGCATCTAGAAATATGTTTGCAGACTATTAAATAGTTTATGCATTTTCTTGGTTTTCCCTTTACATGACAAATTCTTTTTTTTACTAGGTGGTACCACTTTTACTGTGTTCTCAGTGGCATATGGTTTTGTTATACTTGTTCCCCTTGGTAGTTAGTAGTCTTGGAACTCCTTGAATCTCGTCTCTGGTAAGAGTTTATTGGGAAAAATTATATTTGATAT